AGTAGAGTCCGCGACATGTCCGCGATGCGGACCAAACTTTTGGCCCTTGGTGGAGCTAGTCCGCGACGCGGACATGCACTCTCTAAGCACAATCTCAAGCTGCCTTGGCCAAGGTTTGGGTCCTATTCGGGGACCCTTAGGGTGGCCCCCGGGGTTTCGTATCCGAACGTTTTGACCCTGAAAACATTTATTAAGACACTAGGGTCACCTCTACTGATTTTAGACTCCAAACAACACATAAAAACATGAACAACATAGTAGAACACACCAACACGTAAAAGACTAGTTTCCGAACGTCTTGGTCGTCCCTTGATGTTTGACTTCCAAACTCTTTAAAACTGACTAAAAAGGCTATTCTTCATTATTTTAATAAGTTATTAATGCATAAAACTCATGTGAGGCTCTACTTTATCCTACTTTATTTTGAGTGTCGTTACACATAAAGCTTATAACCAAGCAAAGAAAGGGTAATCAACAGAAACGTAATACAAGGAACCATCCGAAGACCTACCATCAGTTAGTAATCAAGTGTCTAATCAAAATAATAGTACACGAATTTTACAAATACAAAATAAGTATAGGCTATCTTTGAATACAATATAAAGAATAAGTGTCGCGCCTCATTTTTTGCAAAATGGGTTTGCAATGACGTGACAAATCTTTTAGGATTCTTTCTAGTAGTGTCGTCATGCTGTCACGCCCCATTTTTTCACAAAATGGGTTGTTCAACAATGTGACAACTCTTTAAGGATTTAATTTAAAATAGAGTCACCACCTAACAAATTAAATGTGTGTTTGGGAACCTAACTAATACTAAATTAATTTTAAAGGGTCAACGAACCAGTGATCAATGTTCAAATTACCTCAAACAGAAGGTGTTAAGAACCTTTTGAGGTCCACAAATGTAGATCCTAGTCGTATCTCATACATTTTTGTGGGGGTTATACATGTGGCAAATAAGGTCACTATTTATTTATTTATTGGTAAATTAAATTAAGTGATAGAGATAGAAAATTAATTATAAGACAAGTCGGAAATAAACATGAAAACATAAATAGAGAAGATAATCAAGAAGATAGAATCATTATTTTTATCAAAAAAAATATTATTTTAAATTAATTATTACCCTAAATAAATACAAATAATAAATATAAAAGACAAGAAAAATGAAACTTAAATCTAAAACTATCCTTCTCGGATCAACGTCCGGCTTATTAATCGGAAGGCAAATTAGAGTTTATCATTTTTTGCTCGAGTCAACTTACATCATTTCTAAAAGGGCCTATCTACCCCTACTCCCTCCTAAGTTCATTTATTATTAAAATCCTAAAGCAAACTAAAGAAATCATAAAACTAGACGTCCTAAAAGGTGTCTCGCGTCCCAACTTAATGCCCAAGAGACATTGGGATAACTAAATGGTAGGTTTTAGACTTAAACAAATCATAAGATTCCTAATTAGACCTTAAGCGTCAAGCAAAATAGGTAGGACAAAGACTTAGCACATAAAATCTTAAATGGGCCTCTAATTTAGCTATTTAGCATACTTGAAAACACAAATAAGTAGTGAAGGATCATGATAGAGTTGTGTGTGCATACATAATCAGATATATAAGTCATAGTGCAAAACTTGAATAATGTGGAAGCAAAGTGAGACAATAGGGACAATTTTAATAGGCTAATTGTAATTAAAGAGATACATTTATGAAAATTTTAGTTATTAGCATGCTAGCTTTTCATAATGCATTAAAACTTATAGGCATGATGTCCATGTGAATTAATATATTGAAAACTGTTTAACAAAGGCATATGGACGTGATATCTAATTAATTAACATGATAAATATATTACATAATTCATATAGACATGGTTTTATACAGAGTAATTCTCAAAACTTGACAAAGGCCATTTTAAATATGTTGTGATAAAAATCAAAACGATAATCCTAAATTATGATACCTAACAAAGGGCACGTTATAACTAGTTAGGCTTTTAGACTATTTCAACAACACAACAACAAGTTGATTAGCAATTGGAATGAGGGGAGCATGTAATAGATTTATTAAAGGTTTTTACTAAGAAGCAATAGTGGCACATTTTCATAATTATAAAAGTATATGTAAGAAGGACTTGATTACACACTGGTAGTGGACCATTAATCCATGCTAAGATTAAGCAATTAATATGCTGATAGTAGACCATTTTTCTTTAAATACTATATGTGAAAGTAAACAATATTAGGTAATATTCATGATAATAACAGTAGGCAGAATACTCTTAATTAAACAGAGTTTGTGAAATTACCCTGAAATTGCCTTTAAATTAACATTTAAAATTGGGTCCTAGCAGAGAGTTAGTGGCACATGATTTTATATGTTTAAATAGTTAACACACGTAGGGATATTTATGTACTAAAGCCACACATAAATTACGACAGAAGATAAACACAAGTAGCACGTTAGTTCCCCTCCCCCTTAGATAGTCCCCAAATATTTAATATATACAGAGAGTAGAGTTTCGTTACATTATTTTTACAAGTCAAAAGTAACAAGTAATACAAACGAATAAAAATTTAAGCAAAGTTGACTCCATCTGGTAAGCCCCATCCACGGGTTCTCTTAAATATGTCTTTAAACTTCATATTAAACTATAATAATATTGCAGACAGTTATATTCATGTAGTCAAATAAAATAACAATTAATAATCTAAATTTTCAAAACAAAGACTTCACATATCAATCAAAAGATATGAAAAGGTGAAACATATCTAATACTAGGCAAAAGTAAAAGAAAACTCACTTGGACGCTTCCTTTAAAGTTAATATGAATTTGTGCAAAAAACCTTAAAGTAATACTATACTATATGCAAGTGTTAAACTTATTCTAGTAAGAATTACTAACCGGATACGTAGATAAGTTACTAAGCAACGCAAAACTTGATATGAAAGCTCGAAGCCAAACCTCGTGTAGTAGCCAAAATGAAGAAACTTCTTTCAGTAATACGCCAGAATCTTTAGTGCTTTTGAGAGTATGCTCAAATGAGAAAGTAAAAATGTGTTCTCATGTCTAGAGTGTAAAAAAGTCTCCAAAGAAGAGCATTAGGCCATGCTTATATATAAAAGACTATAGTCAATCATAGACATAATGAGAGAAATCTGGAAAAAATCAATCAAAGAAAAATTTATCCTATTAAGATGAGCAAAATCAGTCCAAGCCAAAAATTAGATCAGTGTTACTATAAATAGGTTAAGAAATTCACCCAAATAAATCAATTAATCCTGCTATATTTTACCATGAATAGCACGAGTAAATCTCATGCTTATGAATAGAAAGCAGTAAATCATAATTAAGGAAAAGAAAGCATACTAAAATTTACCAAAATCATATATGTACGAAACTAAAATTTAATAAGGAAGACATAACATCAATAGTTGTCCAAACATGTTGTTACTGTCAAAAGGAAAGACTTAAGCTTATTAAAGTGACCAAAGAGTACCCAAATATCAAGTTCTTAACATAATCATTCTTTTAAAAGTGACAACCTTACCACAATTAACTTAAATTACGGAAATATTCTAAATCAACCAATGCGATGGAACTAAATGGAAGAGTGGAGCACAATAATATCAATTACATATCAAAGTTACTTAAAATAACCAAATACTAACAATATTTCTAAGCATTTTAAGAATCAACAAAAGCAAATCATGTAAAACTATATCAACTCGAATTTCAAAGGGAACAAATCAATAACAACACATCTAATGGATTATTAGAACATCATTTGAATGGAGAAAAAACGGAGAAATAGCAGATTGGTCATAGATGAACCCCGACTATACAAATTCTCAAGAATCGAAGTTTCAACACAAGAAGCCTAAAAACATAAATGGTAATGAACAAGATAAATCAATGAATCTCAAACTTAACGAATCAAAAACAGAGAATTGGAGGGAAGAGGTGGCACTTAGGTTAGAGGAACATACCTAGGACATTCCTAAAAATGATCTGTCTTAAACAAAATGGATTCGTGAATCTTCCGATCGATCTAGTTACAATCATTGTGGTGCCGTAATTACTGGTGGAAAAGAGCTTTGTTGTTGGTCTCTTTTGTCAATGAAGATGACCGGAGAGCAAGGAGAGGGAGGCAGAGGAGACCGGAAGGGGAGAGAGGCAAGAGAAAGGGGCGACTAGTGGTCTTCGCTAGAGATGGGGTGAAGAAGTGGAGGGAATGGGAGAGATAATGGAACAGAAGGGGACGGAGAGGGTGAAGCGACACTTGTTTCTCGCCGGAGATGGCAGTTCATGGGGGGGTTCTGCCTGTGGAGCTTTGTCGGAGCCTGTGAAAGCGGAGCGGTGGCGTAAGAGAGGAAGAGACAAGGAGAAGAAGCGATGGTTTTCTTTTGGGAAGAAGGAACGTGTATTGAGATAAGGGCTTAGTTGTTAGGGTAATAGAAAAGGGAAAATAGTAGGATTTAATCATCCGCTGGATTGAGAAGGTTGTGATTAATTTGGAATTAAAATTGGAACAAAATAAATTAAAATTGACAAATTCTTGTATAGGATTTGGCGAAAAATTAAATGAAGAATGCTAGAATTGAAATAAATTGGAAAGAATAGGTTATGATTTAAATAATTTGGAGGAAGATTAAATTGATCGTTATTTAATTAATAAGATATAATACACATATTTAAATAAAAGAATACTAGTAAATTCTTACATAAATAAATACACTTAATATATTATCCACCTGAAAAAGATACGTAAAGCTTTGAAAAACAAAATAATTATTTCAAATTTAGCAATTGATAAATATAATAATAATAATTTTATAAAATATGAATACTAAAGTATATATAAAATTTATAACGTAAATTCAAGCATATAATTGAAAAAAGTAGGTTTTGAAATATATTTATTGAATAGCAATCTAGAGATGGATTATAGGTCGGTCAAAAATGGATGTCAATATATATATGTATATATACGAAGTCTAGCCAAAACAGATGGAAACTAGTAACTCCGAACGCCAAGATCTCATCCTAGTATTCGAACTCCAAGTTGCTCCGCACGACTCCAAATCAAGGGTAATAATCCAAACTTGTATGGACGTGATGTTCCACTTTACTTGTGAGTGTTGTTGTTCAAGGCTTTTTGGTCTCTTCTTTGATGTTGTTCTTTATAACTTTTTGTAATTTAGCAAATTTCATTACTTCTGACCAACTATTTCTATGGAGATTTTCTTAGACTTCTTTCTTATACTTAAAATCTCTCTATGACTCATAATTTTTGTATAACAAAAACAAAAATTAAAAATATAGCACTTTAAGATTTCGGAGGAACACTTTGTCTTAAGATTAAATGTTTTTGATAATGTAGTGTATGTATCGAAAATATGAATATTACCGAATGATCATGTGTAAGCTTAATAAAATAGTTCAATTCCGTGCGAAGTAGGTAATTTACCTAGTATTTATAATAATTATGTTAAATTTTTTGACTAATTAGCTAATTTTTCTATTTTAATCCATCCCATTTCAATATTTTTTATTTCAATCCAATCCGTCAATTTAACGTCTGTGTGACTATGAAAACTAAAATAGGAATATGTTAAGAGAGTAGATTTGAATATGGGCACAGCAAAAGCCCCTATTCTTCTCAGTAGCCGACCAAGCTTTTGTAATATTGTAGCGCCGAAATCAGGAGCAAGGAGAGCGTTTCCTTCTCGGCCACTGACACAAATGGAAACCGGCGGATTAGACTCCGACGGCCGTACGTTTAAAAACGCGGAGGAGATGTGGAGAGAAGAAGTAGGGGATGGTGATCCCCAGAAGAAGTTCCAGTGGTACAACAAAGGCATAAATTACTGGCAAGTAAGAGACCCTTTATTTAGTGAGAATTCATATAAGCTACTCCTTGTTGCATTCTCTTTTTGATTTTGATTTGTTGGTATGTGAAGGGCGTGGAAGCCACAGTGGATGGAGTGCTGGGTGGATATGGGCATGTGAATACGCCTGATATAAAGGCAAGTGAGGATTTTCTCAACACCATTTTGGCTGAAAGGTTCCCTGATGCTGGAAGAGGCCGCCATCTCGTAGCTCTCGGTACTCCTTCCATTCTGTTTTATCTCTTAATCTCAGTGGAAAACTAATGAGAACTCAGTATTTCATCGTAAGATTAAGTGTATTTCTTGGCAAAAACTCCCCAAATAAGTCGGACTTCTACTCTGTTTGGCACAACAGAAAATGTTCCCTAGTAAAATATATTTTACAACGAGAGTGTTTTTCAGTGTTGCGCACAATATGGGCCTCAAACCTTGCTACACATAAAGCACAGTATTAAGTGGAAAAGGGTAAAGGGTCGAGTCAATTATTCGCCGACTTTCAAACTGTACAAATGGTTCTCAGGAATTTCTTGCTTATCAAAAAAATATGTTTTTCAATGTTTAGTTACCTTGTCATAAAAGTTACTTTCAACTATAAATATTCCAACTCATATTCAATTTTACTTGTTTCAATAAACATTTGGATGTTGTTGTCAACAATTAATATCTAGAAATATCATTAAGACATTATTCTCATCCCCTTCATACACCTTGTACAATGCCCACAAATTAGGTATGCTTATATCTAAAACATTGAAAAATGATTCAGAAAATAATTTCAACAATAACAACTAGTATGTTTCTATCCCAAAAAGTGCCTTGGGCTGTATGAATCCTCACTGCCCATCTACTCCACTTAAATTCATCTCAAAGACTCAAATCAACAATATGCAAAATAAAAATAAAATATTTTCTACTGGCATAAGAATTTCTAATAGGGATAAAAGACTCTTAAAAAACCAAAGACTGAGGTTCTGTGCCGTGCAAATGAATCCTGGTATTTAAGTAAAGAAAGCCAGAGGGAAGGGACCATTATCTCAAATTTCAAAAGGTTGCAGTTGAACTATAAGGGTTGGCACCCGATAGATTTCCTGGTCATGAAAATGAATTTCCACCTAATTGGTATTGCCTATACAAAATTTTCCCATTGTGCCTTATCTTTTGCTATGTTTGTGCTGATTCGAAGATTGTAGGTCTTTCGAGACAACTTCCTTTCATGTGATTTTAGGTCTACCCCGTTGTCTTTTTACATCTTCACTCTATGGGCTGGTTTATCTGAAGGTTGACACAAGGCTTAACCAAACCATTTTAAGTAGACATTCTATCATTTTATCCTCAATTTGTGCTACTCACACCTTTTGGCTTATATGTTCATTTTTTATTTTGTCTAAACTTCTATGGTCGCGCAATCATCTAAGTATCCCACGTATGCGACACTCATCTTATGGATGTGCTGGACTTAGAACCCAATATTCACTCCCATATAACTTTGCTGGTCTTTCGTAAATTTGCCGTTAACTTTGGTAGGCATCTTTGCATCATACACACTCTAGTAGCATTTCTCCTTTTCAACCATCCGATTTTGATTCTATATGTAGTAGCATTTCTCCTTTTCAACCATCCAATTTTGATTCTATATGTAGTAGCATTTCTCATTTTCAACCATCCGGTTTTGATTCTATATGTAACATCTCCATCTATCATTTCATTCTCTTGGAATGATGACCCTAGATATCTGAATTTTCTTAACTTGCTAGGAAGCAGGATGTAACTGACTGCATGGCCATCCCCTGCAGGTTGTTTGTATCTTTTTAGTACCATCTTGGTACATTCTTAATAAACCATTCCTTATAAAAAAAAAGAACCACAATCACATCTAATATCACCTCAAAGTTATGCTTCTTATGTTGACTAAGAAAATAATGTCGTTTGAAATATTTACATCAGAAATTTTTTTTCATGGAAGAAATTTCTCCACCCTAAAGCACTCAAGACTAGAACTTTATACCATTGCTATCTCTACACCATTACTAAAGGGCAGAGATGAAGTAGTCTCTTTGATTTAAATTTGTTTCGACAAACTTGTTACTCCCTCTGTTTCATTTTGTGTGAAATATTTTCCTTTTTATTTAGTCTCTTAGAAAAGAATAACACCTTTCTAAATTTGGAAATTTTTAGCTTCAAACTTCTCATTCTGCCATTGCTATCTCTAAACCATTGCTAAAGGGCCAACCGGCCAAGTGAAGTTGTCTCTGAGTTAGAATGTTTGGACAAATTTCTTACACCATCTGCTTAGTTTTATGTGAAAATCTTTCCTTTTTATTCTATTTCAAAAAGAATAATATCTCTCAGTATTTAGAAAAACTTTAGCTTCAAACTTTTCTTTTTTGCCTTAATGATATGCTCTTGTAGCCATAGAAATGTCATGACATATTGAAGATCACAAGTTCTAAGGGTACTACGCTAGGTGCCAAAAGTGTCTCTTATTACTAAAAACTCCGTGCCCGATCAAAATTTGCCATATAAATTGAAATGGAGGTGAGCATTAGACAAACTTTACTCTGCTATCAAGGTTTCTTAAGAAAACTCATAAACTAACTTCTGCAGCCTATCTACACCTCAGTACACAGTTTAAAAAAGAACTTGAGCATTACTGAGGACTTATTTGCTGATTTTAGTGCCTATGAGAACTCTTTGTTTGCTTCAAATTGCAAAATTGATAACAATTGTATATCATATTTTTCAAGTTTATTGGTTTATAATGTGTGGGCAGTTTGCTTCAATTCGTGCAGATTGTGGATCTGGCATTGGAAGGATTACTAAAAATCTTCTTATACGATATTTCAATGAGGTATATACTATCTTTTTGTGTAAGTATATTGTGTTTTACTGTCGAAGAAGATAATCTAACATTTTGATTTTCTTGAGAGATGTTATGTTAAACTGCGGTTTAAAGGAATTCGGTAAACTTTCTAAGTATTCACCCAGCGTGGATTAACCTTCTAAAAACTATCTAGGCTGAAAACAATAACACCATCCTATGGTCTGGGTTGTCTTTGGCTGATAAATGGTAGATTTTTCACAGAAATTATATTCGGGAATATAAATTAATGAATTCCTGATTAAGTAGAAAACTAGAAGTACGGTAGGCGGACTCTGCGGTTCACCTCAAGAATTCCTTACCATCATCCTTTAAGTGAGGTTCTTTGATGATTAATTCATTTGGTATCTACGGTAATGGGGAGAAATATTCATGATTCATCCATCAGTCGCTACTAAATGAATTGGATAAGTTGGTTGATATGAAAAATACCTTAAGTTCAACTTAAACGTTGTAAAATTTGAACTAAGACAACTGATGTATCAAATAATTTTTATTCCTTTCTAAGGTATAAGCTTATTACATCTAACTTTTGGTGAATACAATTGTTTTGACTTAGAATTCAATTGTGCATATTATATAAGCATTACACTACAACAACTGTGCCTCTAGTAGGGTCGTGTATGAATCCTACGAACCATGTTTCTCCATTTAAACTCATTTCATGCAATAATCATCATACCCAAGAAGACCCAATCAAAATTCCAATTAATTCTTTAGAGCCTTTTGTAAAGAACATACTTCTTACCAGAAGAGAATTTTGGTTACCCTAGTTTGGTCATCTTCGAAGGAGAAATAGAGAGTTATGATCAAGCTCAAAAGGGTCAGAAAAACAAAGGGGTGATGGGGGCGTTCTGGTTGTTCGTGATAACTCAGAGAAATACATGCAAGGGGTCAATAGTTTCTGCTGAAGAAACAATATCAATAGAACAGAGTATAGAGGAGGAAGATTTTTCTAAATCCCTGGCAGTGATTTACACTGAGGAAGATCCTGCTCCTTTACAAATTGTTAACAGTGCATTTGGCGGCAAAGGCATCAGGTTGGGTGCAATCCGACATGATTAAGTTGTGTCAACAGCATGGAGTTGACATCAAAGGGTGCAAAAAAGAAGCTTATGCCCTCTTGATGAAATTAGATCATAGAAGGGAGAGGGAGATGAAGCAGGGGGAGGGTTCTAAGGCCAATCGCAATAACATAGTTTTCTCCAAAGAGGTCAGAAATTTATTTTTTGATATGAATTTCAAGGACGGAGAACCAAGATCCACTGTGAGAGCTCTTACCATTGGTTATTAATGAAAGTTAAGATTGTATCTTGGAATGTAAGGGGATTAAATGGATGCAGTATGTGTTGACTGTAATAGAGTAATAAGGAGAACACTATCACATGAGCTGAAAGATACGAGAGACAGTTTCAATGGGACTTGGGTAGTATGTGGGGACTTCAATAGCACCAGCTTTCCATCCGAGAGAACCAATTGCACCAGAATAAGTGGAGTTATGACTGAATTTTCATCATGCATTGAAGAATCGGAGTTGGTGGATCCTCCTTTTATTTGGAGGATCTTTTACTTGGAGAAGAGGGGAAGATCTTGAGTGTGCATCCAGAATAGATAGATTTCTTCACCCCACTGTGTGGGGAGATGTGTTTTCTTAGATAAAGCAAATCAGTCTTATTAGACTAGCATCAGATTATAATCCCATTCTTTTGACCTGTGGGAAATGGGATTGGAAAAAGACCTACTTCAAATTTGAGACCTGGTGGCTTGAAGTGGATGGATTTAAGGACAAAGTAAAAGAATTGTGGGAGTCTTTCAGGGTGGGTGAAAGGCAGACCTGGTTATGTTCTTGCTATGAAGTTTAAAATGCTAAGGCTACGATAAAGGAATGGAGCAAATATAACAGGGGGAATTGGAAACAGAAAAAAGACGATATCCTTAATCAAATATCCTATCAGGAAACTGTCCGAGAACAGAGGCCACTCACAGATGATGAATTAGTGCAAAAGGCAAACTTGACATTGGAGTTTGAAGAGGTAACAAAAAAGGAAGAAATTGCTTGGAAGCAAAGGTCTAGGGTTCAATGGTTAAAACATGGTGATAAGAACACAATTTTCCCATAGAATTGCATCTTCAAATAGAGATTCAATTCCATGGAGCAACTTAAAGTGAATGTGAATGCCACTATTATCCAAGACCCAGAGAATATTAAAGAGGCTGTGCAAAACTAGTATAAAGATCTATGTAAGGAGACAGGAAGCTGGAGACCTGATTTTATAGTGCACGAGGCTGCAAGGATCACTGATGTGGAACATGCTTGGTTACAGAGAGCTTTTGAGGAGAAAGAAATAGTGGAATGCTTGAATATGTGTGCTGTGGAGAAAGCATCTGGTCCAGATGGCTCCCAATGGTGTTATATCAGACTTTTTGGAGTCTATTGAAGGAAGATGTCACCAACACCATCCAATATTTTCATTCGAATCAGGTCAAGTGTTTCAATGCAATATTCATTGCTTGATCCCAAAAACCTGGAGCCTCAGAGTAGTGTTTTGGATGGCGAGAGGCGACAAAAGGCGACAAGGGCCTGCCTCGCCACGCGGCGAGGTGCTCGCCTTTTTGAAACGAGGCGCCAATTAATACCAAAAATTAAAAATATTTAATTGCATATATAAATATTCAAAATCTCAATAGCAATAACATATATTAGCAAATATTTCAATTCAAAAACTAAAAGTAGATACTAACAGTCTAGAACTTTAAAGATCCAATAATTCAAAAGACAATACTAGAACTCTAAAAGTCTATTCTTCTTCAAAACTATCCAACTCTTGAAGATCAACATCCTCTACATCATTATATTGCTCCTCATCTTCTTCCTCCTCGTAGTCTTCATCAATTAGTGTCCGAGTCCTACTTGAAGTTGAACTTGTAGATGTAGTTTCTACTCCTTTGCCCTTGTCAAGTGCTCTTGATCTTGAAGAAAGTCCCCTAAGATGATAGATACTCTCATCAGCTCCAATTGCCGTAGCAACACTACCCCATGTAAGATCATCATCCTTATATACTAGTTCATCTTCTTGATCTTCGGGGCATCCA